CACGGCGTCTTTTATTCGTTCCACTGGGGTTTAGCAGGTGTGTTTATAAAGAGACGAAAAATGTTTGAGGACTATCCCCCACGTTGTAGTTGAGATGGTATAACCCAGGGGTGTCAAACTCATTTCACATTGTGGGCCACATACGGAGTCAGTAGATGTCAAGTGGGCCGGACCATTAACATGATACCATACTGTGCTATGAATCACCAAAATATCATCTCTTTCCTTTGTTTTGGTCTCAAGAAGCATTGATTGGCGCTTTCATATCATTTGCTGCGTTGGGTCTATCTCGGTGACAGACCGAGACTGCTGTTTTCTTCTCCGATCAAAACAATGTTGTCTTCTACTGTGATCAAAACAATGTGCCCCCCTAGCGGATAATCCACGAATTGCATTTTATTTAAAATATTCATTCTGTGTCTTGAATGCATTTTTTTTTCCCACTTTTAAATCATCCCGCGGGCCGGATCAAACCTCCTTGGGGGCCGGTTCCGGCCCGCGGGCCGTATGTTTGACACCCCTGGTATAACCCAAGAGGCAAAATGACGCTTGCTACTGTTGTTGCGAGTTGCCATTCGTTCTACTAAACCATTAGTCAAACGCCATCATGTCTTCTGTCGTTATTACATAAACAAAAATCTCTTTACTGTTACTCGTGTTAGTGCCTCAATATGGCTACGCTCGTGAAAGCAATACAACGAACTCAAACGCGTCTTCGTTCAATGTTGTCAACTAATATCCGGATTAATTTTATGCAAATTTTCCTCAATTCTCCGGAGAAATTTTCATAGAAATTTGAAAAACCCGGAATTCCGGGAAAATCCAGAGGACTTTCATCTCTGTAACTTGTTGTTGCTCAGTCAATTTTTGTTATGAGCAAAAACTTAACTTGCCCCGTGAAATTTAAAACACACTGCCAGTCGATGGCAGGGCAGGAACCAATTTCACAACATTCAACCACTACAAGTTCACATGGTTACCTAGCAGTGAACCTACAGCGATAAAGGCTGGGTTAAGCTGATTCATCAGCCGAAGATAACTCTTCTGAAGTGAGTAGAAAAATAGTCTGTTTTTTTTTCTTTTTCAAGGGCGGGTGGGGAAGACATGATCACATTGCAACACAGTCCAGAAATATAATGGAGATGATTTTTTTCCCTGATTGTTGTCTGTTTTAAAATGCTACAGGACAAAGTATTAAAACAGTCAAATGTTTTAACTGTAACTCCTATCTTTATTGCTGTAAGCATTAATTGACCCAACAAATAAATGTGGGTCTTTTTTTTTATTTAATTGATCATGTGATTAATCGCTTATTGGAATTTTATTGGGCTAAATATTGCAGTCAGCATTGTCCTTGGGGAAAAAAAAGTGCATTGGTAGGTCCCTAGTGTTTATGTGCTTGCATTTTCCATTTTTTTGTGCACGTATGTTGCTAAAACCAAAGAGAAAAAAAAATGATCCAAAGGAAGGAAGTGAAGAAAAGGTGGATGATGTCCATTCAATTAAAGTTTGAAATCATAGAAAATCAGGGGTGAGATACGCGTGAAGCAGGCTTGGCAAAGCAGTCTGAGAACAGTACTTTGTCAAAACAACAACAACAAAAGTCTAAAATAGAAATGAACTTTCTGTCTTTGGCCTTATCTATAGTCTTAATAACGTAACTCCTGGATTCCTTTTCAAAATCCAACATGGCCCTGGCGCACAACTGGCAACAGACATGAGGCCAACACGGACATCACCTGCTCCTGCGTGGAGATGTAGTCATCGATGAAGGGCACGCCCTCGTTGGGCCCCTGACCCCGCACGCAGGTGATCCTGGCCACGGACATCTGACTGGGCTTGATGGTCGACTTGGTGCCGTCACTGCGCAGCTCCGCCTCTTCCTGTGTGCGCACACGTCATTGCGATCGACGGCGGCGTTACCTTGAGAAAGGCGGGATAGCGAGAGCCGCCTACCTGGTTGAGTGTAACAAACTCTGCATCCAGCCCCACCAGATCGCCTGCCTGCGGCATCTCGCCGACCATGAGCGGGATGAAAGTGGCGTGACTCTTCCTCTGTTTGCGAGCCAGCGAGGCCTCCGTCAGCAGAACGCTGGCATCAATGGGCTTTTGAACTGAAGACACACGCAAAGCGGGAGGTGCCACATCAAGACTTTCTCACGTATGCGTGCGTGCGTGCATGACACACAAGGGAAACTCACTGCGAAGGTCGTATTTGGTGTGGTAGTTCCTCTTGGCGTAGTAGAGGACGGCGGGCACTTTCCAGCTCATGTCGAACTGGGCAGCTTCGGTCTACGGTGAAGCATTGGTTGAAAACACAAATTGATGAACTGTCACACACACTCCTCAAGACTCAATGTCTGGATGACTTTTTTCAAACAATGAGTGACAATGATAGAAAGGAAAAAAAAAAGCCTGAGCGCAGACTTCGCTTTGGACGGCTCCGGCTGGTAATTTATCCTGTCTACCGTTTTGATCACGACAACTGCGACAGCAAGATGAGATAGAAGTTGAACCAAGCTGTGCTTGTACCTCCAGCAACTTCTGGAAAATGGGTGAATTCGGAGAAGGCAGGACTCCGCACGACAGCAGAGGTGATATACATGGAGCAAAGCCCACCTAGTCATGGTGCCCCATTCACAAATTTACTTTTGGGCTATGGAACCTATCCCAGGCTATTCTTTAAAGAGAGTACCAAAAAATGCTTATTTGAGTAGTTTTGTGCTCTTTCTGTAATGCCGTGGGATGCCACGAGATGCTGCCAAAGTCCTAACCAACAGCTAAGTAGTAATTGGTGTCAGAGATGTATTGTTGAAGTGATACAAACATTGTCAAGTGTTTATTGAAACATAAAAGCACAGTGTTTATGGCCTGCCACATACCAGCTGACAGCAGTGCATGACACTAAAAAGTTGCGGTGTGCAGGCTTCTGCTACTAATTTTGCTGCGCTGTGAAATTGGAATCGCAGGTTTGCAGCGTCACATCATCGTCCTATAACAGCCAATCAAAAATGCCACGACTGCTCACATGGGCCTTCACAGCAAAAATTCTTTCTGGGGACCAAGCGAGACCCATATACAAAACTTCACCCGGTATTTTCTATAGTAATTATCCAGAGTAGCTGTGGCTAAAAGTGAAGTGTGGGGAGTCTGGGTCAGTGAAATGCATATGTATAGCCAATGAAAGGGGTAATTGTTGCCAACTGCCTCTCAAATATCCTCACTGTCCTGTTTCTGTTTTTGTAAGACAACAATATCGCAACAGCAGCCAGGGCAATCCTGGGCATTTTCTTCCCCCAACAATCGCCTTGTATTTGTGCTGAAAAAAAAAACAAACTGGCGGGGTAAATTGCCAGTTGCTGACGAATTGTCCTAATATGCAATTGTCTAGTTCAGTCTTAGGCAGCGTCACTCAGTAGTCGGCCAGCCTTAAGGGCCGTTCACTCCACTTTAATGTTCACGTTGTCTGTAAAGAAATAAGAAATTCTATTCTTTCTATGGAAGTTAATACAGTTGAAGCTAGGGGGGTATGTGAGGAGCGGGGGATTCTGAAATCATGTCTTTGCTTTCAGGAAGAATTAAGTGAGAAAAAAAAAAATCTAAAAAAAATATATAAATAATTTTGAAACATAACACTGTCATCTTTTTAGAAAGGGGAAGAAAAGATTTTTGTAGTCGTAAAGCTGTTTTGTTTTTGTATTAAAAATAATCAAATAAATCACAAATCTGGTCTTTTACTTTCAGGCCATAACACCCAGCCCTATTTTGTATTGTATCCAGGTGTTTGTTTATGCGCCGTGGCCCTTGTCAACCAAACAAATAGAGTGACCTTTTTACCTTGTCAATGGGCTCGATGAGGAAATCGTTGAAAAGATACCACTGCTGGTGTGTGACTCCCTGAAACAAAACATTGCTGGTGCGGTTACACTAAAAGGGAAGGAGCAAGGTATCAAGCCTCGCCCTGTCTGACCTGGCTCGACTGACCTCTTTTCTCTGGTGATACGTTTCTCCCACTTTGATGTGTGCCACTAAGTTTCCCCCCGTGCGAGCGTCAAGGACATGAGGCACGGTTACCACCAAGTCGTAGAGGGCCGCGCCGTCCGCCTCCTCGTCGCCACTCAGCTAGGGGCAACGCAAAGACGGTGAGCGGCCGAAACAAAGCCGCCCTTCTTGTCACCCTTCTGGCTCACCTCCTCTCCTTCTGGCCAGCTGCTGATCTGTAGCCCCTGGCTCTTGTTGATGGCCATCTTCAACGTGAGCGGGATCCACAGGTGCCTCAGGTCCTCCAAGCGGCTGAAGGCCTCCATGCCGCAAACGTCCTCGCTACTGGAAAAGGTCAAGCGGCGCTCAGACCAAAGGTGATGGGAATCGAGGAGTAAAGGAGGGAGGGAGTCTTACTCTAGGCACCACTCAGTGGGCATGCGCGGGGCGTCTTTCGGCACTGCCGGCTCCGATTTCCCTTTTTGCCTAGCTTTAGTGAAGGCGTACTGTGTAGAGAGCCACAACAAAACTGGCTATTAAACACACAAAGAATTTGTTGTCACTTGAGTTGTGACGTGTTTGACACCAGACACGAAGGAAAACGTGGAGCTTAAAAATAGCCTCAGAAAACAAACTTATTTTTAAACCTCAGTAAACTATGACCACACGTTCGAAGGGACTTTCGCAGCATTTTACATTAGGGAGGAAGAAAAGGACACTTGCATTTCGACAAATGAATCGAGCCGAGTTCAAGATCACAACTGCACAAAAAACAGTCACAAAATTTCACGAGTCGCTTGACGACATTTTGTCGTTAGAGATGCAAGTCAACTTTTAGAGATTTTTTTTTTTTTTGCGCCGATTCCAAATTTGCCCTTGGTTTTTCCTCAAGCACATCAGGTGTTCATAAAGTAATACGTCATATATTTTCTAATTTGGATGAGTGAAGAAACAGGTGGAATGTTTTTCATCATTGCTATAAATTACAATACATGGTGAAATCCATATAGCTTTTGTTGGTCAAACTTAAAAAAAAAAATAAAAAAAAATGAAAACCTCAAAAACGTGCTGGAAAGGGAAAAAAAAGACATTTTTGAAACTACATGAAGCCATCTCTGATTAGCAGGTGCTGTTGACCAGTGCAAGTCCTCAGTTTACAGAAGAGTTCGCTCCTACAAATTTACCAAGTTGGAAGGTGTCGGATTATAGCACTGACCCATGCGAACGCAATAGTCAAGCAGTTACAGTACATTTAGTATTTGTATGACAAACCATGAATATCAAACCATCAAATGAAAAAAAAGTCAGTCACATGTCGGTGATGTCATGAACCAAGGAGGAATCTCTGTCATTTTGTACTCCCGGTCCTCCAGCCTAGCAGGTGCCCTGCTGGTTGCCACGGCAGTCTGGTTGCCAATCACTGCCTCACAATTTTGGTTCCCTCATTTGTTGAGCATATCAGATCATGAAAATACCTCTGCCTGGACTTTCCAGAATTCCGCTTCTTTAGCGCTGTTCACCTCACAGTTTATCACCAAAACATCAGGGAGACACCGAATGTTGCGTGTCTGGACCTGCGGAGGTACGCACGCATGCACGCACCAAGAGTGTCAGCGCAGCATGAGCTCATCAACGTGGAGCCGCGTGGACCGAGGTGGAACCCTTACCGTGGGCTGATACTTCTCACAGTTTTCACACCACGCCTGTGTATTCTGCTCCAAGCAGATGCTCTTCTTCAGAATCTCGGCAAATTCGTACTCCTTTATCGTTTTCTCTGGAAAGTCAAATGAGCAGCAGAAAGTGACCAATTCCTCCAAAAACAAAAGACGCTCATGCACTTGCCTCAACATTTGGATTGAGCACCTCTGCTCAAAGTTTACAGCAGAAATAAAGGTAAACCAAATAGAATTACATGTGTAATTTAACCAAACCACGTTAAAGTTGCATCATAAAAGTTCACTAGTATAATGCTAACACACAATGCAAAATGGGTTAACAAACTTAGCATTGATGTGGTGGTAATTCTAAACCTAATAACTTCGATTTGAACACAAGCAGCAGCAACACATTCAGACAGAGAATCAAAATATTCGAAAAAAAAAAAAAAAAAACTTCTAACACTCTTGCAGCTTTGCTGAGGAGGACTTCTGTTTCATAATCAAATCTGTCTGGAATAAAATGTATTATTATTATTATTATTATTATTATACTGTCCCCGAGTGGCAAAGGAAGGAGCCGCACAATGTCCGCTAAATTGTCACGATGCACAAACTTTTTCAGTCTTTATATACTATTATTGTTGCATGTTTTTAAAAAGTGCAAAACTGTCGGGCAGTGGTTCTCAAAGTGTGGAACTGCACTGGTGGTACTCTCTCTGGCTCACTCTCGTGGAACTTGACAAAAATCAGTAACCAGCTTCAGAAAACAGCTTGAGCTGTGATTGGTCATTAGCAGCCCTGAGCAACTGTGATGCCATTTCCTGTTGACAGCAAGTGGCAAAATGGCCGCCCCCTGAGATGGACAAACGGGTGGATTTTACTGCTTCACTCGTATTCCACAAGCGCAATATTCATCAGAATGCTGTGTGTGGACTAGAAGGGGCGTAGACAACATATTTTCAAGAACGTTTTGGTGTTGACTTCCCGTTCAGCTGCAGTGTTCCGAGATTTAGGCGCAGTGTTCAAACTGCATAATGTTACAGTGATTTGCACGAGAATTATTGTCATGGACACTTTCACCTACTGCATTTGATTGTTGATCATTACGGTAGTATTGGTGACAAAAGCTTTGAGAACGACTGCTTTTGTTCTGAAACAAAACATTTTGCTGGTGTTCTTTGGGGCAAAGGAGCTATTTCATGAGCTTTCCACTTAATTGAATGGAAAAAGAGGATTTGAGAAAGCATGGAACACATTCAACATGTAAGTTTCGGCTTCACGGTGGTGTGCATTTGCAAAGTATTTACAGCGCTTCCACATTTTGCTATGTTACAGTCTTGTGGAGAAAAAAAAAAATGGAAGAAATTCTTTTTCACACCACCCATAATGACAATGTGAACAAAGTTTGGGGGATAAATGTTTGCAAATGTATTACAGAGGCAAAATACTACATATACAGTGTTCAATATGTAAGTACTGACAGCCTTAGCTGCACTGCGGCATGCTTGACTGTCAGGATGGCAATGGTCAGGCGATGACCGGCGCCCGGTTTCCTGCAAACACGACGCCTGGCATGCACACCAAAGACTTTAATCTTTGTCTCACTAGACCAGAGAATTTTTGTGTTCAGGGTCTGAGAGTTGTTCAGGCGCTTTCTGGCAAACTCTAGGCGAGCTGCCATGTGCCTTTTACGGCGGGGGGACTTGCGTGTGGCCTCGCTAGCATACAGGCCTGATTGATGAAGTGCTGCAGAGATGGTCATCCTACTCCTGTCTCCACAGAGGACGGCTGGAGCTCTGACAGAGTGATTGTCGAGTTGTTGGTCATTTTCTCCCCTGACTGCTTTGTTACGACAGGCAGCCAGCTCTAGGAAGTGTACTGTGCGTGGGAACTTCCAGTGACGGATGATGGAGGCCCCTGTGCCCAATGGACGTTTCAAAGCAGCAAAAATGTTTCTGTAGCCTTGGCCAGATTTGTGCCTCCAGACAACCCTGTCTGGGAGGTCTTCAGACACTTCATACTTGGTTTGTGCTCTGACATAAATACTGTTACCTGTGGGTCCTTCTATCGACAGGTGTGTATGACTTTTGAAATTATGACCTCTCAACCGAATTGACCAAAGGTGGAGTCCAATTAAGATGCAGGAAACACTCAGTGGAAACATGATGCGCTCGGCCAAGCTCAAGTACAAGATTGGTGGCGAGGTTGTGAATACTTTTGAACACTTTGTAAATAAATTTGCAAACATTTCAAAAACACACTTTTCACATTTTCATGACGGGGTGTTCTGCGCACTATTTTGAGGGGGAAAAAATGAATGTATTCTCTTTTGAAATGAAGCTGTAACATAACCAAATGTGTGAAGAGTGAATCGCTATGACATCTTTGGTAGCTGCCCTGACCTTCTGCCTTCTGCCCAGATTTGTTCTTGGTTTTGCTGTTCGGTGCTTTCTACCGTCTTTACCGATTTGTTGCTTTACTGTTGTATATGTTAGTTGCTCCATGTACAGCACTTTGTATGCAGTGATGGCTGTTTGAAAGTGCTATATAAATACAGTTGAGTTGAGTTGAGTTGACGGTGACGCTGGCCAGAAAGTGGGAGGGCTCGCTGGACTCACCTTGAGAGTTGTGCTCGGGGTAGTGCATTGTGAAGAGCAAGGTGAGAGAGGAGCGTACGGTCTCTTTCCCGCAGCGACACAGGCTGCTGTTCTCCACCTCGCATCCAAACAGCCTCCCGATGGCAGACTCACCAGACGAGCCCAGAGAGCTGTCAACACAACAATCTGTTTTGGGTTTCCTTCCTCACTTGAGCATCTATTAAGGCTCAACTATTTAGGTAAAGAATCAAACTGAGGTTTCCCCCTCACTATTGCAATTTCACATTTCTATTGACAGTTTATGCTTTCATCCTGCAGACAATTATTTGGAAAAAACGTCAACTATAGAAGTCTCATTTCGTATCAAATGCCATTTTGCATTTTCGATGGTGCTTGTCCGCCCACATGAATGGGGACAGGGGTGTGCCGGATCCGAGCCCAGCTAACTTTGGGCAAGAGGCGGTGCAGTACATCATGGACTGCTCAACAGCCAGTTGCATGTTGCAGTTTCATGTGTTCAGGAATTTATTCCTCACTGTGATTTTCTAGCCCCTCTCTGTTCGTTGGATCTGTTCAAACACTTGAAAGAAACAATGTAGTATGCTGTTGAAGGTATTTCCTGCTTACTGTGATTACCATCACCTTTAGTGCCCCTTGACCCCCACCACTTTTAGGACCCCTCCAGAGGACACGTTTAACATCAAAAGAGGGACAGTTATTTCACGTATCTGTGTTGCTGCCATCACATCAAAGCTCAGACCGAAGACAATGGTGGGTAGTGGTGGTCTGGTCTCACCTCACCACTCCCAACTTTTTACAGCCACACCAGGTCAGATGACATGTTAATATCTTTGTTTCGGGGATTCGCATGGAGGTGTAACTCCCCGCCTCTCATTATTATATTGTCTATATATTCTCATGACTGCATCTTTTCTGGGCTTCCTGACAAAATCTGAAACTCTCAGGAGCCCGAATCGATTCGTAAACTGCAGAAAAGAAAAATAAAACCTTCGAAGGTACTGTTCATCGTTTCCAGCCTGTATTTGGATAACCAACATCCTCATCATCAGAAATTAACGAACATGCGGATGAAGAGAAAGGCCGACACTCTCCCCCAACACATGCCACTGTATGAGACAGTAAACCAGTGTGTTCAATGGCCACATAGGATTTTAAAGCTGGACAGACGGAGCGGAACATGGAAGTTGCCACCGTACATTTTCAACCTCTGTAGTACACAAACAACAATAATGGAGGGCTTGCAGTATTTCATGTTGCCGGGAGAAAAGGTTCATCCCTTTCCATTATGTTGTCGGTGTTGCACCGCACCGTCGAGAATGCTTCATAGCAGCTTTTAGGTATAGCGCATTACTTAGATTAGCAGTCCACAAGGGAAGGATGCCAACACGTGGCCACTAATAACTTGGGCCTCATTTGGACTGATGGGTTGCCTCTGACCTGCTGCTGGCTCCCCTGTAGGCCTGTGGCCCTTCCTGCTCTTGAGTCTCCTGGTGCAGTTGTGTGAGAATGAAGCGGTTCCAGCTTTGGATGAGGCGCCCGAGCCTGGCCTTCCCTGTTTGCTCATCGGAGTCTGCCAAGATCAGCCCCAGCGCCGACGCTTCGGGGATGGTGCGAAATGCCCGCAGGAAATTACTTGCCTTGATGAGAGAAGACAGAAGAAGAGCATACTGTCAAGGAGCCGGCCGGCGTTTGCCAGCCTTAAATGAGCTAATGCTCATATGGCGGCTCAGCTCCTCTCTCAGCTTTCCTAGTGCGGCAGTACAATAAGCGCAGAGGCTAAAGACTAGACGCCTGGAAATATTGTGATAGGGTCGTCTACATGTTTGCGGCACTGTTTGTGTTCATACACCCGTCGCTTCCAGGGTTAAAAACACCACAAATTCTAATCTTTGGCTCGTGTGCAAACCATTTTTCCCTTTGTATGTATGTTAGCATTCGGCTGGTGGCGGTTATGTGGTTGCTTTAGATCCACGTGTAATTCTCCCCTTGGTTTCCATTTAGTTTGACAATAATCATCTTGAAGGTTCTTTTTTGAAGACTTTTACTGATTGGAAGTTGCCAAGCGCGACAATACGGAACAAAACTCCGGCTTGACTGACCTGACATGGATCTCCTCGTGACAAATCCAACATGTGGAAAAGGAAGCCCAGCTCACAGGCCAAACAAAACTCCTTCTGACACAAATGATTCTGTACCAGACAGCGAATTGGCTCCAGGAAATACAATACCTAAAGTGCCAACACAAACAATCAAATGTTGACGATTCCAAAAACAAAACCAAACACGGGCCTCATGAAATCGATCTGTCACCTGGATCATGCAGTTGCAGTAGGCATTGGGGATGTGAGGCTCCAGGCCGGCAAACAAGGTTTTGTTGTAATGTTTAAAGTCAAAGTCCTCCAGTCCCAGTTTGGAGTATTTAATGGTCACCTATTCAGGCATGACGTCACCGTCATCGTCACACATGAGGTGTAAGATGCAATGCCTTCACACACACACACTCACACACACAATTCAAACCTTTCTATATTTTTTGGGCACCATGTAGAGGTGGGGCTCTTCATCACGTCCAATTGGTGATTCTGGAACTTGGTTGTAACTGTCGTAATCCTGCTCCACATCTTTCAGTTTGTAGGGAACCTGAAGAAGGGAAGTAAAGACATGAAAGTGTCAACATGGCTGGTATCCACATCGGGTTTACACAGACACACACACAGACACACACAGACACACACAGACACACACACAGACACACACACACACACACACACACACACACA